TATTAATAAAAAATAATATACATAAAATAAATATATATGTAGAAAATTTCATTATTTGAATTTATTTTTAGTATTTGGAATACTTTTCAATAAGTAACTATTTGATCGATGATTCACATGAATCTTATCATTAATTTTCCATAATTTGATGTATAATCTAAAAGGTTCTTATACATCATTGTTATCGATTATGACCACTGTTGGATGTACTTGATCGCATTGAAGGCGTGCTTAGGCCAACTTAAATAAGCCGCTGAATGCCACACAAAGCAGTTTGAGCGGATACCATCAATCAGTCCATTCAATGCATGTTCTATCATCCTGGGGGAATTAGTGCGAGTCAAGTGCTCTGTGGCCATCTCTATCTCTCTGTCTGTTTGCCTCTATTGCTATCTCTCTATGGCCGTCTCTTTCATGGAGCTGCTGCTGCTGAGCCGTGAGCCGTTGAAATCCGAGCAAGTGCTTCGATGTCGACGCCAGGGGAGCATAACTTATGCCCATTGTAGTTATGCGGTGAATGTTTTATTGAAATGCACAACAAGTCAGCCAAGTCAGTCACTCGCCCACACAGTCCAGCGCCCAGTCAATCATTCAGTCAGTCAGTCAGTTGGTCAGTCWGTCATTGAGTCCATCAGCAATTGAGCAATCAAAAGCACAAAACCCCAGAGTGAGTAAAGACGTCATCGAGTCGAACGGATGCTGACTTATAAAGTGCCGTTGCATGCAATTATACGCTCAAATGGAGTTTGTCTATTGCCAATCGTCTATTGTGAACGATTCAAGGAGCATTAACGTGAGTCGCTCAATGTGAATGTGTGTGTCTGTACATGGCTTTTGTATGTGTTAGTTGAAGTTGATATACAAGTTTATATTTATGTTTTTTATTTATGCGGCATACCCTTGGCAATTCACAATGGCTAGAGTGGGTGTATCGATATATAACGTGTATAAGAATAATATAAGAATAATAATAATAGGTATAATAGGAAACTTTAGTTCAATGGAATTTTATTAAACAATTTGATTGGCTTTACGATCGTCTCCAACATTCCGTTCTATATTATATAATTCTAGAGCAGATCCTAGAAGGAAATGTCCTTATTCCAGCTCAATGACCTTTCAAACTGACAAATTCTCTTAATTAACAGCCTTGTTCAATCTTTAAACTTTGAGTTCTTTCTGTCGATGGACAAGCTGCCAAGATGTTGAGGTAATCAACTCAATTAGCCAGAGAGCACAAGGGCCTCCAAGCACACACACATACACACACACACACACGCACACAAACACACAGACAATGACTAAAACAAATAACAACAGTAAACTCAATTAGATGCCATAACTAAATAATCACAAACACATTTAAACAAACAACGGAAGCGACAAGAGCAACACTCTCAGATTCTAGGCGACAGCAGGACAAGGGCACAACAACAAAAGTGTTGGGCGCTGTGTAAGCAGAAAAACCAGGTCAACAACAGCAACAACAGCAACGATAACAACAACAAGAACAACAACGACAACAAGTAGAATAATTTTGTGAAACAATGACGACAACTGCTGTGTGGAAAATTGCTTGAAATGTGCTGAAGCCAGAATGAAGGCGCAAGGCAGGACGAGGTCGAGAGAGAGAGAGAGAGAGAGAGGGCCGGACGAAGGCAGCGCTGCCTTCGCTGAGCTGGGCACATTCCAACATGTGACGCACGTGACAAAACTTGTCAAATGACTTTACTTCGCTTTGACTGTGAATCCGGCTCGAAGTAAACAAGAGCAAGAGCTACTCTAGTGGGCGAGGCAGCGCGGCAAAGGAACAGCATATTTCTTCTATAAAATGCACAGTCAAGAAAAGTGGTTTCCATCTTAACTACATAGCTAAAACAATCAAAAGAAGCAACAACAACAACAACAACAAAAATCCCGAGCATAGCAAAAGGAGTTTAACTACACTTGTTGCGTTGCTCGGCTCTCGCTGAGTTATGGCTCGAGCGAGGGGCTAACCCTCAGGGGTAAGCGGCAAGCGACACTGCAAATATTTCACAAGTGCAGTCAAGTGAATTTCTATTTGATATTATGCTCCAGCCATGGACTATACAGATTTGTGGTTCTGTGGGCGCTGATTTCCACAAAAGCTTAACAGAGCACAAATGCTAATGGCTAGCCTGGGGACCCATAAGAACAAAGCGAATGCAAAGTCTGGCCAACTGGGGAGGATGGAGGATGGGCAGCACTCGATGGGAATTGAAAGTGAATGTGAAAAATGTATGATGTAAAAGAAATGCTTAAATCTCAGACGTTTACAGATTACACGGTTAAAGAATATATACTAGTACTTATTTCCGAGAGTAAATTAAATGTAGAGCCGAAGAAGAAAAAGTCTGTGAAGACTTATTTGTAGAAGGCAGCAAGTGAAGCGATTGAGCCGAAAGGGCTTTAGCAACTGCTTGGCCTACTTTTAAGGACGTAGTTCATTAGGGAGTTAAAACTACTCGAGCATTCTCTTAATACAGCAGCAGGTGTCAAGCGAAAGCCCTTAAGGGCTCAACGTAAAGTCAAGAAGGCACTACAGCTGATCTGTTTCTATTAAGCTGTGTGTGTATGAGTATGTTTCTGGAGGCTATTTTGAAGCCATGGGCAGGCAAAGAATCAGCAACTCTCCCACATAACTTAAGTGAATTAAGAGTGTTTCTAGCGTTATTTCAATTAATAGCTCTTCAATTCACTCTGGTCTATATTAAGCAGCATGATCTGAGGTAAAAAATATACGACACTCGAAATACAGATGAGAGCTATTGCCTGTGAGTGGCTCAAAAGCGAGAATGCCAGAGGCAAGACTGTAGCCGATATCTTATTGAGCTAAAGATTTTAAATCTTTTCCCACACGCTGTGTACAGCTAACGTATAAACATTGAAAAACTCTCCTAAAAGTACTCAAATATATATACAAAATTCTGTATCTGTCTCTAAGCATATGAACACATATTTAAGCATCCCTAGTTTTTGCAATTCCCTGTACTAACTAAAGCAGGGAGTAAACCTGGCCATTTCATCAATCGCTTTGTAGTTCTATAAAAGTGAAACCTAAGCCATACTGAGTAGGCAAGCAAACAAACAATTTTCTAGAAAAAAAGACTGTTAGTTTTTCAAAATTTATTGCCACAGCAGGCTTTGAGATTCAATTTTTGAGCGACAAGCCCCTTGTTCACAGCCAAAACTCTAAATTCTCATAATCGTCTCGGCTATTGAAGAATAAACATCTTTGAGCATAAAAAAAAAACCTTCACAAACTTTTTTTGATAACCTACTTCCGTAAACAGGCTATAGTGAGTATAAAAAAAAAAAAAAAATGAAAAGAAAAAGTAAATTTGGTTTTCCTTTTACTTAGCACGAAAATGTGTAATCCTTGCTTGCGTTCAATGCCTGGCACCTGTTGCGGCCCAACAGGTGGGCTGGGCCCATGCGGCTTCTGCGGGCCCTACAACGGACAGTGGTTTAGGGCAGTCAACCACTGTTGCGGTCCGATAGGACCATATGGTTGTTGCTCCTGCTATGGACCCTTTGGTGGCCACTGCTAGCCTGGTTAGAAGGAAAGTAGGTTTCAAAAACTGGTCGAGGCAGAGGACGCATATCACAATAATTCCACGCTGACTGACACTGCTTTCACTTGTGACCCGTAACTCTCAAACCAGTAACGGATTATCTATTACAAAATGCAAAATGTTTGTCCAAATAAATTTTACGTCAGTTTTAAATGGAGAAAAACAAGTATAAAGCTGTTATTTCTCAAGCATTGGTCGGGTTATATAATTTTACCATCTACTTTCTACGGAAAGAAATTCGTACTCAATACTTCTCAATAATTTGAATTTCTTTGACTCTAAAAAAAAAAAAA